ATTAGGACCCTCTTGCAAAGAGGGTACCTGGAACTTGATTGGGACAGGAGAGATGGAGAAAAGTGGATGGATCAAGAGATTACTTCACAACTAGAATTTTCAGGAATTCCTGATAGATTCGATGAGGTAGCAGGAAAACAGAGAAGTCAGGGATGATGCCTAATTTCTGACCTGAATGAATGAAGAGAGAACCAGGTTGTTTCGGCTTGGCCTACCCCATCGCCACTGGTCCCCTGTTTCCTTGGAGCCCCTGGGAAACTCTACAGAAGCCCAGAGCTTGAGAAGAAAGCATCATCTGAAAGCCAGTGGGTCAAAGACTCTCTAAGGTCCCTTCCAGTTATAAGACTCTTTTATTCTGAACTGAAAAGTCTGTGAATAGGGACAATCTTTCCATTTCTTTTGACTCATCCTGTAGTACCCTGATAGAGCTCTGTACCTGGGGAACATTCAGTAAGTGCTAGTTGACTTTTCACTTTGGCACAGATCTTCCGTAATTGAATTTTAGATTAAATTCCTTTTTTAAAATGGGATTCTAACACAGAGTAAACTTTCAATTGAAATCAATTCACCTTGATAAAGTAGAGCCATGGCAAGGATAATCTAAAAATCATAAAATCCAAAATAATTCCTACTTGAGTGGAGGCAGAAAAAAAATTGTTTTTGCTAAACTAATTAGCTACATTTAGGTAAATGTTATTTTTTGGGCAGACTCCAACAGGTGGTAAATCAATCCCGGTCAGAATAGGACCAAAAAAAAATTAAAACCCACACTGCAAATAATTCATAATGCTGAATATAATCTACTCTTGGTAAGTAGATTCTTTGTTTAAAACAAATATTAACTTTTTCTTTTTGAGACAGGGTCTCACTAGGTAGCCCAGACTGGCTTCCACCTCTCAGAGTTCTGAGATTATGGCCATGCAGAACAAGTAGGATTCAAGTTCAAATCTGTCATTTCCTCCTCTTCTTCTTTACCTGCAGTTCCATCCTTCAAATATCATATTTCCCAGCAATTTTCCCAGGTTAAAAACGCAGAATCAATATCTATAAGCAAATTGAAGTCAAATACTCAGATAAGTATACCATTTTCAGCCTTTTGTTTTATTAAAGAGGGAAGCAAAATGACAGAGTGCATTTTATATGCCAGGCACTTCTGAACAAATATGTCATTAGATGCTGTTTATTACTTTATGATGAAATGGCCATTTCACCGATGAGATGGGGAAATTGGTGGTCCATTCTCTGATCTGCTTCCTGTTTGGGGTGAGTTCTCTGCTGGGGAGAGCACCAATGAGCAGATCACACTGTGGGCACCATGGTAATGAGGTCATTCCTCATGCTTTTCTTGGTGGTCAGGGCCCAGGATGTGGCCTAGGATTAGCCAACCAGGTGCTGCCACTGGGGGTTTGGGGTTTTTAGTATGAGATACAAAGATGAAGGGAAGCTTAGACATCTTTTCCAGCAGTGGTGATGTGTCTGATGGTGGCACTTTGTGGCAGTGCCCTGCATTTGGACCTCTTCACCAGACTGTCCTGCTAAAGAAGGTTGTGGTTCTTCTTCCCCTGGCCCTTTCTAAGTCTGGCTCCTTGGCTTGTGTTAGTTCTGAGAGTCAGCAATACAGTATTTCTCCAGTAAATTCCATTTCTAGTTAATATAACCTGAGTCGGTGTGGTTCTTGCAACCAGGAACTCTGGCTGCTACATGAGGAAACTGGCTCCAAGGCTGAAGAACACGTTCAGGGGGTCACTGCTAGCAAGAGACAGTGTTTTGGCTAAGAAGCCCATGCTGTTTCCTTGACTCTCTGCTTCCTCTTATGCCAAGGACCATGTTATGTTCAAATATTATTTTAGTTCATTCTCACAATATGATACAATGGGCATTATTTTCTTCATTGTTCCAGTGAAAAACAGTCCCAGAGAGGTTTAGCCTAGCTTTTATTATAGCTTTAGTGCTGAAATTTAATCAATCAATAAAAATTTCTTCACTGCCAATTTTCTATTAGCCTTTTATGGTCCTAACACGACCTCATCAAGGTGTTCTTCTTGTTTCCTATGTGTCCTGTATGTCTTACACCCGTGACCCTGGACAAGTCATCTGTCTCTCTAGAGCACAGATCTATATCTCTATTGAACATTTTCCTTCCTGTATATCTATCTCCAGTGTTCATGAAGGGTTCCACCATGGCATGGGCCAAGGGACCAATTCAAAGCTGTCCATTGACTGACCAATAGATGAGCTGTATAGAGAAGAGAGAATGACATCATTCCAAAGTGCTTACAACCAAAAAAGGCATTTGCACTTATCTTCTATTTAGTCCTGTCTGCCTCCACATCCCTATAGCTTCAAGAGAAACTATGTCTTTTCTTATTGGACTGTAGAATGGGGCCAAAGATCCTTATTGGCAGAGTGAATAAATTTGCCAGACAGCTCAGGATCTTTGGCGACAGATCACCTGCCCAGACCTGGCTCATGACGACCAATGAACACTTTGTTGGCTGTGTTTTGGATTAAGAAAATGAGTTCTGCACGTTTCCTACCTTCACAAGGAGCAGTGAATTGAATTGGTACCATTGTAAGCTTGATTGTTGTCGCATAGATAAAAGCCTCACTGAGTCCCTCATGAGGAGCGAACAATTTTATTTTGAGGAAAGAAAAGCGAGGAGGGCTTCTTGCTTGTTGTGGTTACAACAACAAACATTAAATGGAAGAAATAATTAAATAACTGCACTTTTTTTTTTACCCAAACCTCCTCAAGAGACTGGGTAAGTTTTTAATTAGTGCTGCATTTTCAATAAATCTGTATCTGTACGTGGTGCCGATTCTTTCCTGGATAAGGGAAAGATAATAATGAGAATCTTATTTTTCAGCCCTACACTGAAGGGATGCCTGGTATATTTAATCATGCTGTAGAAATCCTGGCAGCTTTCTCTGAGCCCGGCCTCTGCTCTAATTACATTTCTAGATTTTAGTAAATTGAAAGGGAAATGTAGGAACAAAATAATTAAAACCGAAGAGGAAGTGCATATTAAAAAGGAAAAGCTGTTTAAAATTCTTCCACATAGTGCTTCCAAGGACATCTACAATCGTTTAATCAGCTCCACACCAAATCAAAGCCCTTTGTACAGAGGCTGATAGGATCTTACCTCAGGTGGGCAGTATGGTACCCCCAGAATGGGTGCCTCATGACACTGAGCTAAAGATGGAGATAGGACCTCTCATGTCCTTCTAGATCACTGGGGATTCAGGTACAGCTTGGACAAACTGCTGGCACAGATTCCTTGCCCTGAGGAGTTCCCTCCCAGAACCAGGGCAGAGTCGGACTAAGCTGTACACATTAGTGTCAACCGTGCAGAAGCTAAAGCAGATGTCCATGTTTCTAGCTACCTCTTTCTGCACCCCTATGCTCTCCACCTCCATGACCCTTTCTCCTGACTATTCTTTTCTTCCTTCTGGCTCCCCCGAACACTTTTTTTTTTTCTGTCTTCCTGTGAAATCTGAAGAGAACAGCCTCAGTGACACCAGGAGCCAGTTTCTTATAATAGGTTACTGGGTTACCACAGAGGCATTTTGAATTTTCACAAGGACCAGAAATCTTGCTAACTTCAGTTAAAGGAATGAATGTTTGTTGATAATAATGATAAGTGAACTCTAACTGGAAAATTTCAAGTGTTACCTACTAAGTGACAAAAGCACTTTTTGCTTTAATGTGAGGCAAGCGCAATGAACACATCATTGGAGAATTTAAGATCTCCATTTTAAATTAAAGAAAAATTATCTTGACTGAAATACAGGCTTGTTCTGTAAGCTTAGGAGTTTGGAGTGTTTTGTCCATAATTCCTAGGAAATTTTAATCTGTGAGATTATAGGTTCTGCTTCTGCAGTTGAAAATGGAAAACAGCCTGGCACTGCCAGGGGTTTCTCTCTCCAAACCCCTGTGGCTTTGCTCATGGGCTGCTGGCCTTCCCTGCTGAACAGGCTCACCAGCCACCTGGTGCCAGGATGCATGTGGCAAGAGACAGTAAGTCCGGTTTCCTGGAGACAGTCCCACAGGCCTGGAGGCAGCAGGGCTTCTGGAAGCTGTTCCCAAGGCAAGGCCCACACTGTCACCCCATGACCCACGAGTTCATTGGGTTGTTCTTTTGCATCCAGTGCTGTGTGTGTTTGTGTATGTATGTTATATTATCTCAGTTCAGAAAAGAGACAATGGCTTATCTGAATTATTTTATTTGATTCAGTAAGAATACTTTTTTCTAAAGTTTAAGATAAAGGAAATGTCCCATGATGACATTATTACTCCAACACAAGACGACTTTTTTTCTCCCTGGGCCAAGATGCTCTCTGAGACTTTTAACACAACTCAGGAGTTCCCAATGGGAGCTAAGATGTGAGGCAAACTGGGGACTCGGGTGTCCAAGACAACAAATTGTCACTGAATTAGCTTCCTTCCACTTAGGCCGCCTATATATACACTACCGTCCCCAGAAACAATGGCTCTGTTTTTGCTTCTAAATGCTAAATTTTAAAAGTACTTTTTAAAAGTTTCTAAAATTATCACAAAGTTAAAAAACTTTTACTGATAGGGTTTTTTTTATGAGCCAAGTGTGTAAAAGTCGTTGATAATCCATAAACTGCTTGCAAATTTAAGTTCCTGCTGTGAAATGCCCTCATTGTTACACCGACCACCCCAACGCTAGACTTACCGCGTTTCTATTCGGTCCTCGCACCTCTGCACGCGACCCCATTCGAGTTCCCGCCTCTTTCAACTCAGGCCCCTCCTTCCGCTCAAAATCCCCGGGCCTGGAGAGGCCCCAGGACGCATGCGCACTAGGAGAGGTAGGCGGAGTCTTGAGGAAGAGGGAGGAGGGGCAGGAGAGCCCAGGGAGGGGAGAGGAATAGGGGCTGGAGCCCGCGCGGGGTGGGGCGCGGGGTGGGGCCCGGCGGGTACGCGCTCGCTGCGTCGACGTGCTGACGCTAGGACGCCCCGGCCGGTGTGTGTCGGGGTGTGTGTGTGTGTGTGTGTGTATATATATGTATGTATGTGTGTGTGTATATGTGTGTGTATGTGTGTGAGTGTGCGCGCTCCGAGTGTGTGTATTTGTGTATCGGCGGTCCCGCAGGTCCCGGATGTTGCGGACAGTATGAAGCGAGCGCAAGGGGACTGGGACCAGCAGCTGTCGCCGCCGCTTTCAGGTGAGTAGGGAGGAGAGAGTCGAGGGAAGGGGTTTTCCTGTTGGGGTGGGGGAATCCTCCCTTGAGAGGTGACTGACCCCCTAATACCTCCCCTCACCCTATACATATATTCTCTACCCCATTTCCTACACCCAGGTTTCGTGACCCGCGAAAGCCAGAGTCTAGTCACCGTCCCTTCTTTCTATCCCAAGCATTCAGGAAACACAAACGCGCCCCCTGCCTTCAGCCCCCCCCCCATCATTTCCCAGCCCCATCCCCCTTGCCAAATAGTGAGCTGTCGCCTGCGGCGAGATGGGTGACTGCGCATGCGCGAATGTGAGCGAGCTCCGGGTGCCTGGTTGCTGCTTCGGGGCGCATGCGCATCGCTGTGTTGCAGGGACATGAGAGATAAAGAGCCGCTTGACCGCGCGCCCGCCTTCTTGCGAGACAGTGGGCTAGATTTGCTGCCCAATAGTGAGTGTGTTGCTCCTTTCCAAGAGGGAGACTTTGAATTATGCGAGGGACTTCAGGACAAAGCAGTGTTCGCGTCTGATGTTGCTCTAGAGACTCCCAGGCTACCAACGCCTCCCTGAGCCAACGTGTCCCACACTGACCCTTCTTTTGAAACTTTCACTGCAACTTCTGGTTCTAGGATTACTTTCCTTTCCTCTATTCCCATCGTTATGTACCTTTGGTACAAACTTCCCCTAAAGTTAGGAATACGTGCCTCAGCCCATTTATTCCAGTAGGGGATTTTGATAGTTTTGCAAAGGAGGACGAAGGGTCATGAAAAAGAAACTAAGAATTCCTTTCAGGAAAATTCCCAATTGCCTTCTCAGAGCTAGATAAGGAAGGAATAAAGAACAACAGAGTTTAAGACTTAAGGTCATAAACTGTAATCAAGACAGCAGGATTCTCATCTCCCAGGCCTCCTACTTTGACCTATTTGCCCCATTTTTGCCTGTTTTAGCTGTACATTATTAATACTCTGTGACCATCATATGAAAGCAAAGGCAATCTGAAACACCTGGACTGTAAGTTGTCCGGTGGAGGTTTTAATTTTAAATAGAGCGATGTTTCTTTCACATTGGCAAGTAACACAAATGAGGTTACAAGAATATTCCAGGGAAGTAGGACCTGAGGTTTCACTTGGCAGATTGTACTTGGTCCTTCAGTTTGCTTGCTGTGTAGGCACTTTTTTTTTGAAACTTTGCTGTATCTTATCTCTGCCATCAGAAAAGATAAACTCTTACTAGCAAAAGGTTTGCTAAACAGCTAAATTGTTGTTGGGGAGCATGGAGGGGAAGGGAGGAGTATTTTGTTTTTCAGTTATCCTTCAACCCTGTCTCTGAACTAGACAATTGTGAATGGGACATATTAGTAAGCCTTTTTTTTTGGCTGTGTTGGGATTTTGAACTCTAGGCCTCAGGCTTGCTAGGCAGCTATCCTTGAGCGACTTGAGCCATTCTCCCAGCCCTTTTTTTGCTTTAGTTGTTTTTTGGATCTGGGGAGGGCCTTGGACTGCAGTCCTCTTACCTATGCCTCCTAAGTAGCTGGAAATACAGATGTGCACCACCATGCTTGGTTTGTTGAGATGGGGTCTCCCTAACATTTTTTTGCCTGGGGCTGGCATTGAACCTCCTCTTCCCGGTTTCCCAAGTTGCTAATATTACAGGCACGCACCACCATGCACAGCCAATACCAATAAGCCTTATTTTCCATTATTTTTCCTTCCTTCCTTCCTTCCTCCCTCGCTTCCTCCCTCCTTTTCTCCCTCCCTCCCTCCCTTTCTCCCTCCCTTTCTCCCTCCCTCCCTCCCTCCCTCCCTCTCTCTCTCCCAGACCTTAGTTCTGGGCCTTAAAGTAAGTGTGTGTGTGTGTGTTCGTTCGTGTGTATTTTTCCCCCTTCCCCTTTTAACCCTGGCCTTTATGGTTCATCTCTTGTGCTGTTTCCCATTGCCATGTTGCAGTTGGCGCCAAGAGATGAACACAGAGGAAGCACAGGGATTGGGGGTGAATGTATCATCCTGTCTGCTGGGAAGAGCTGCACTCTTCTTTTTTTCCTTGTGTAGACTGAGAAGTATAAGTTAGGATCGGAGTGGTTGGTGTTCATTTGGTACTTTGGTGATTCTCCTTTTAGAGCCATCTTTATAGTGACCAGTTTCAGTTAGAAATATTTAATGTTGCTTACCTCCAGAGTTGGATCAGTTTCTGGTAAAATCTAGAAGTGACACTGTTGAGTTAATAAATGTCTGTTTAGTAGGCTTGTGTCATCTAGGATGCTTTGTTCTTATCTGTAAACATTTAATCTCTGAATTCACTGAACTAATTTAAAATTTTGACGGTACAAAGGCATGAAGTGCTTTTAGGATTAAGATAAGTATTGTTAATTAATTCATATTGGTGTAGAGCCTTGTTTTAAAAAAAAATCCACTCTTCAAAATAAAATGGGTAACACAAATACATACATATGAAACAAAATTCAAAAAGTACATAGTGAGAGAGTGAAAAGTCTACCATCCTCCTCCATCAAGCTACCTTCCCCAAAGGCACTGTCTGTTTATCCTCCAGAGAATCTAGTACTTACAAATATATATGCCTGTATATTCTTTGGTGGTTTTTTAAAAATTTTTACACAACTGTTAAGATATTACACCCATTATTTTGCACTTTCCTTTTTCACTTAATTTATCTTGGTGATCATTCCATACAGCATATGTAGTATCTCTTCCTTTTTGAAAATGGTAGATACTGCATTGTGCAGATGTACCATCATTCAGCCAGCTCTTATTATTGAACATTCAAGTTGTTCCCAGTGCTACAATTAATCCTTTATATGTACTTAATATGTATTTCAATGTCTGTTGGATTAAATTTCCAGTGAATGTGCTAGGTAAATGGGTGTGTACATTTTTAATGTTAGATATTGCTAAATTGCTTTCACAGAGATTTATGAGCTTATATTCCTGCCAGCAGTGTGAGTTTGCCTATTTCATGGCCAAACTGTTACCAGAAAAATTTTAAATCTTTTCTGGAGCCTTTTATCTGAGATTTTTATGTTTATTATGCTTCTTGTTAAGTTTCATTTCACTAAGGAGTTGTGGACAAATACTTTCACTGGTTTTTGGATCAAGGGGTGGTGGAAGATATTGACTGAAGAATACTGTCATGAGAATAAAGTCCTATGCCTGGATACCACTGCAAATCCATGACAATGCTAGGAAGGTATATAGGAACTATATTCCAAGCCAGTTTCTCTATATGAAACTGTAAACCTGTAAGTGATATTTTATGATATCCTTTTCCATCATCATCATCACTGTAGGGCTTGGGATCAAATCCAGGTCTCCTCACAAGAGACACTGACCTGTGATATCCTTTTGATAGCTTGTATAAACTTGAGATTGTTCACTTGTTTATTACAAGTGAATTGGTGTCTTGTTGAATTGGAAAGCTAACCCAATTAGAGTGACTAGTGCCTTAACCAGAATGTTGGTATTAGCACTTCTAAGAGTCTGCTGATTGCAGAATACTTCACTATGAGCTGTGAAGAAATAGAAATGAATGAAAAGATGTCCATGCCTGAAGGAGCTTACAATCTAGAATATATGAAAGAATAAGAGAGCAGTTAGAAAATAGAATTTGAATATAATATGCTAGTGGTCCATGATGACAAGACCTGCAAAGAAGTGATCAGGGTTGGAGGAAGTTCATTTGAAGGGCCTTCCTGGAAGAAATGCATTTTGAACTTATTTTTTTTCCTCCCAGTGCTGGGGTTTGAACTCAGGGCCTGCACCTTGAGCCACTCCACCAGCCCCCCCTCCCCTTTTGTGTGATGAGTTTTTTTTTCTGAGATAGGGTCTGGAGAACTATTCGCCTGGGCTGGCTTCGAACTGTGATCCTCCTGACCTCTGCCTCCTGAGTAGCTAGTATTATAGGTGGGAGCCTCCAGCGCCCTGCTAGCATGTTTCTTCAATCTGTTTTTAAATATAAAAGTTTAGAAACCATACAGCATTGATTCTTTTGACAAATCCAGACCATTTATGTTGTAGCAGGTACCACTTCTGGAATTTTCTGGTTGTGTCCTCACAGTTTCATTTGATTTGTTCCTTTATCCCTGTATAATCTATGAATTTGTATTGAGATCTAAAGGTTTGATTAAATTCTGGTTAAACATTTTGGTCAGAATACTTCAGAAGTGTTGCTCTGCTCCTCATAATAGAACCATAACGTCATAGCCCTCTTACTAATGATGTTGGATTTGATTGTTTTAGGTGATAAATACCAGATCTCTTCATTGTTAAAAAAGATATTTTTCCCTTTGTAATTGGCAAGTAATTGGTAGAGTGGTGCCACTTTGGCACCCTACTATTGTACTTTTCTAGCAGTTTTTTTTTCTAATGATGCTGGTCCTTGCTTTAATGAGCTGATTCACTGGTTTTTTGCAAAATGGTGATTTTTTAAAATTCTGCCATCCCTTTTACATTGGCTAGTTTCCAATCTTCTATGAAGATTTCCCTTATTAGGAATAAATGATAATTTCTACCAATAAGTTGAGATTCTAGATTCTTTTTTTTTTCCCAAGTCAAACTCTATTTGGTTTATTAAAGATACTTTTCATAAACAATAACAATATTTCAGGCAGGACGTGGGCAGACAATCTTTTAACAGTATACAACAACTTTCAAACTCCCCTCTTGGATGGACTGTCAAAATCAGAAAGCCACTATAAAACTTAACATCTTCATTTGAAGATCTGAACAGGGGAAGTTTCCAGTACGGTTGACATTTCACATTAAACATGTGAAATATTTAACAACTTTTCATGAGCCAACTCAGGAAATGAGATGAAAATGGCAGAATTATCAATTTGAAGATATACAGTATAAAAAGGGAATTACTGCTCTTTTGGGAACACTATCTCAGTGATGTCACTGCAAAGTCCAGATTGCCTGACATACTGGCAAAACCAATTTGGGGGTTAGGGGGAGGTTTCAGGTCCCAACAGTCCTCTGATTTTAA